ATAGACTTAATTTGTTCACTTCATAAACATACAATTTGAACCAGTGCTGCAATCAACATACCATGTGACACACAAAAATCGATGTTTATCTGTGTAATGTATAGTTCTAAAATTTGAATTATAATCTACATTTTGATACCAAACTTATTGACATAAGTCCATGAAATAGTAGTTTAATAAAATTTTGAATGTGAGTCAACAAACGAGATGACATGGCCTTTCACCTGTGACCTGTACAGAAAGGGTTAATGGGCTTGCTGCTTTGTTGTGAGGATTACTGGTTCAGTGGGTAAATAGTACAGCAATAAAACCAAAAAATAAAAAAATAAAAAACATGAAAAATATAACAGTCAAAACTGTTAAGATAAGTAGTTTACAATTTCCTGATTAATACTATGTCAGCAAAAAGGAAAAAATGTTATTATTCATTCTATTTCATGTTTCAACTTTACATTTCACTAAACTGATGATTTCTCCACAGTTAGTGTTAAGATAAAAATTGAGATAAAATATAAAGTTTTACCAAAAACAAATTAATGTTCATTTAGGTGGTTCATGATGTTATGCAAATGAAATTAATTTGAAGAGGGGAAAAATCTTCTATTTACAATCTTTTAGCAATTATATTAATATCGAAATGTAGTAGATTGTACATATATTTACCAATTAATATTTATTTTATTCTTGGAAATTAGTACAAGTGTCATAAAGCTCTACTATAAGACAATAAAACGTTTACCTGAGCTTGATGACTTAATTCATCTTTCAGGTCATCATAGTAAGATTTTTCACCGTTATCATCATATTCAGTATTAAACAAGGCTTTCAGTTTTTCGCTTTTTTGCCAGCCGTTTTTCTTCAAGACTTGTAGGTTTCTGGCTTTTGTTTTCATCTTCTGGAATTTCTTCTGTTTTTTATTTAATGAGAAATATTAGATTGATGGTTAATGTAATTAATATTAATACAAAACTTGCCTATGAAACAGTGTACAAGTTTAGTCCTTCATTGATAATGAAGTAAAAAATATATCAAATTTATAAATAATTTCCATTTTTTAATTTCCCATTATTTAATATCAAGATAGAAAACTAGTTCATGACTTTTAGTTTTTACATCTACCATATTTGTGTGCTTTATTATATGTTATTGAAGTTGTAACTACAATACAATGCATGGTTTTATTTATTTATAGGCTGTTCTCAAGTTTCTCAACAAATCTGAACTAAGCCTACAAAGAAAAACCAAACAATTAACTTGACCTACCGGAATTATCTACTTCGCCATCAACATTTTCACAAGTAACCTCACCCGTTTCCAAATCTTCAAAATCACCATAGATGGAATCTATGTACAGAAACAAATTCATGTTATTGTTCTGGTAAATAAGTTTATTATCTTCATCTAAACTATTTAGGCTAGAAATAATACAATCCTATCTTGTTAAAACACTTTAAACAACTGTTACAGGTTTATCATTGCTTGATCAATGAAGTAAAATCATAAAAAGCAAAGCCTAATTTACACCTTTGGTGCTACCCTTTAGTTAGAGTTTCGATTTACAGTTTAAAGAACTATTTCATGTAAACTTTGACTGATTTAATTATACTTTTAATTTAGATATAAATTACTTTGCTTATAAGTTCTAAAATTTGGGCTTTTTTTGCTACTTTGAATTCAACAAACTAATTCACTAATTAATTATTCAAAGGCTAAACACCAGATGATAAACAAGTGAGTAACACTATATGCATCACTGCACCATAGGAAACACCATTCCTGGGCAGTGAATCTGACAAATATCTATACAAATTAGTTATGTATTCTTAATTTTTGTTATTCTCTTATATTCAATTTTTACCCTTGAAGTACATGATAATGTCAAGACATTTTCAGAAAACAATATATATGTTATTATGTTTCTATGATAGCCTTACAGATTTGGCACCGAGGAATGAGTTGCTAATTTTTCAGTATACTTCTTTGTTCTAATTTCCAGGTTCTGTAAATGATATCCTTGTTTGACTATTACTAGCATTCTAAAGAATTTATTAACACTGTTCCTAAAAAAAAATTTATGATTATTTAGAAGCGTCAGTTTACCGAAACTTTTGCTGTTTTCATACCACCACACTAAGTATCATGTCATACTAGATCCCAAAAAATGTCTGCATTTTATACTAATGCTAACAGGAATCTGAAAACATGTACTGAATAAGATCTAAAAAATGAGTTGTTATTAATTTAAAATGTAGGAGCTGAAAAAGAATTCAGTCTGAATATTGTTAAGAGCTTTTATTAAATTTAATAATTGTTCTATGTCTGCTCAAAATATTATTTTTAAATATACTTATGAAAAAATAAAATAGAAGATATATACTCTTATGTTCCAGAACTAACTAACCAATTATTTAATGTTTTCAAAAAACAATAAAAATTGTATCCTACCTGCAAACCATTGAATATTATTAGTCTAATTTTAGGTAATACCAAAGATATAATAGAACGATAATGTAGTAGTATTTAAATTAGTCAAACTAAAAAGAACTAAAATACAGATTACAAAAACAAAGGTCATGTAAGAAATTATAGAATTAGAAATTCAACTATAACAAAACATGTACAAATAACACAACAAAATTTAATGGGATAAAATGATAATCCTAGCCCAACCTAACAAAATTAAAAAATAAAGTATGAAGTATTAAACAGATAAAGGTACAACTAGTTTTATGTTAGTATATGATGTGACCTCTTGTAAAAGGTCACTCAGCAAGTCATGTAAGTAGTGTAAAATGTAATGTCACATGACCTGTTATAAAAATTGTACTCGCAAAGGATGATGAAGAATCATTGACTGCCTCAATAAATATAGTTTGTGCGCCAACAAACACTGTGTTTTATTTATTTATTTGACATTAGGTTTTATACAAGTACAGATCACTCTTTTTGTTTGTTTATTTGTTCATGTTGGACTCAAAAGTTAATGTTGACACTGTGTAATTCCATCAATAACAAAACAAAGCTTATTTTCAGATTTTAAACATTAACTTAGAACGACATGTTCCAAGAGTTGAACATACTCACCATTTTCTAACAAAGTTTGTGCATCTTCAGAGGGTTTCCACTTTCCAGTAACAAAACAATCCTTTATTGAATTTTGTACCTAAGATTTAAAAAAAACAAAATAAGGAAATGATATCTTAATCATAACATCTGTGTTTTTAAAAAGTGCCTACTAAAGTCGACCTTATAAATCAGGTGAAAACTGTTTTTAAATCCTAAAGGGTGAGTTTTCTAACGTCATAATCCAACACCATGGTTTTTACTTCCTGTACTACCTAAATTTGCACCATCAAATAACATAACCTAATCATAACTAACCAATCTTGATCTCTATTTCCTTGACAATCTATGAGTTAAAAGACTTCTCCTATGTCACAATAAATTGGGATAGCAGAAAATTAATTTTGCTATTACACATTTTTTAAAAACAAATTGCTTTTCTTTCAAATGTACACATAATATACTTCAAAGTAATAAGCTGTTGCATCTTGACTATTAAGATAGAAATTAACAGCAAAAAAAATTCTTTTTCAGATGAAATTAAAATAAAATACTAATCTGTACCAATTAAGCAGAATATGCACTGAGTGGTCACAAGTAAATAGACACCTAATTTTTCATCATTTAACTCATTTATGCTAACTAATTTATGTTCACAGAGCACTGTATACATGAAAATGGTCCGCACACTAATTATCTTGTGCTACAACATGCCTAGAGCTCAAGGTTCTCTCGAATTGTCAGAATTTGTTAGAGGAAGGATAATTGGTCAAGCAGATGGTGGAATAAGTCAGCGGCAAATTTTGCAGAATTTGGGAATCCCGCTTTTGACAGTCAACAGAATCATCGCGTAGTTCAGGAAACACAGCAAGGAAACAACTGAGCAGCGTCCGGGTCCATCGGAGAGGACAAAAAAGGGCTGTCAAGAGGAGCATCGAAATGGATCCCAGATTAACGACTGCAGAAGTGG